AAATTACAAATAAACAAATCCTAGTAAATTAAGCTGAAGCTATTTTTGGCAGGTTTGTCCTTTTGCTATCCATTCACGCCATGACGGGCTTCTTCTTCGCGGCGGTCCACCGCTCCTGCCATTGTTTCCCTAGCGAATTGTGTGGAAGTTTTGACAACGTAGAAATAGTTTTCTTCGAAGCAAACAATAACAAAAACGTACAATAGTGAACTAGTACCAGAAGCTACCTTTCCATAGATGTTGGGAAAGTGAACAAATCAGCAACTCTATAAATTTTGACATCAGCGCACAATCTTCTATCGGCCATGAGTTTTCCATGCTTGCATAAGTGCCCGGCTTTTTTCTAAACACAAATAAAGTGTTAGCAGCTACTCAAAACCGGTTTTTGGCTCTCATATCTTGGTACATCCAAAAGCCTGTGCTATATCGACGCAAAAGCTCAGCCTCCTGCTAGATTTTTGCAAAAGTCGAGATCTGCAAATTGATTTTTTTGCAGACTCATATTGTCTTGTCCAAGAAATTGTTAATGTTCATAAATGCAAGTAGTGTTCAATCACCATTCGACGATTATGCTGAGCTCATGGACTTCACTACTGTAAGCGCTGTTCAAGCCGAAAGTCTTACAACGAAACAAATGCTATTATCCAATGGTCAACTGTTTCGCTTAGATGGGCTTACAGTTCTGAAAATAAGGCATTTTCTTCTCCAGTAGTTTTTGCAGCGAGAGGAAAATAACTTTGGGCATTAAATTCATGATTTCAAAACTGTCATGGTATTTCATGGCATTTTTTACAGATTGTAGATGAACAATTTCCAGAATTAATCGTAAAAAATATAAACTTTGCAACGCTACATAATGAATGGCAAATTATGATACAAACAAGATCTGTGGTATGTTAATCTCTGGTTGAGAAAATTGCAAACTTCTTAGGTACCAAGACAAGAGGGGGATTAGTCCAGACCCCCAACTTTTTTGCGACTTTGATCGAGCTTCGTTGTCATTCTCACTACCTGAGTGGCCGACACTTTGGTTTCATGGTGACTAAGTTAATTTATACAGTTTTGCGCCACATTTTCCCACTTTTTTTCATTCAGTTTTTCCACGGTACATGACAACATTTCATTAAAAAATTTCTTTTAGATAATCTATAGCTTATCGCTGTTCAACACTATCCTCATTATATTATTTGTTGCTATTTGTATTGTACTATGCGTTGGTGCAACCGTTCGATTTGCTAGAATTCGAGCAATTATAGAAGATGCTGCGAAAAAGTGCAAACACAAATGCCAGGTTTTGTAAGGAATTTTTTGGGATTCTTTTTTTCAAATACCAGGAAAGCCAAGACCACCCGGAAATTGATCTGACAGATTCATGTTACTGTTATCATTGAAACGGTACCACATTGGTTTCGAGTTGTGTACATTCTGCTAGCGTCCGTCGCCTGTTCCATGTATGTGTGTCACCTTTCTCCAGATATAAAGTTTTTTTATGCCAGTTAAATTGCTATATTCAGAAGGTTTCACCCTTTTAAGTCCAAACTATTTTTTGAATATTTCTTATTTATTTGTTCATCAAAAAATTTCTTCTGTGTAGTAATTCTCTGTTTCCACAAATAGAATCCTACTGCGAGCACTGAAGTCAGTGTCCTGATCCTGCCAGCGGGAAAGTAAATCCATATATGGTTGTCCGATTGAACTTGACGCCATTCCATGCTAATTAATGAAGCAGCCTTTAATTTGTTACTAAGCAGAGTTAAGAAAAGCATCATTGACAGCTTTGGCCGCGGTAACTGCCGTTCAAAATACGCTATCAGTTGAATTACTTCTAATTACCTCTGACCCTCACAAAAGTAAAATGTGGAAATTTTCACTAGTTCTGAGTCGTTTTTTTAAAAAGTAAGTTTCGCCTGTACGTATTTGCTGAATTTTACAAATTTTGCAGCTCCATGTTGATAATATACTACAGTTGCGCCAGTTAGAAGCTTGGGTCACCGAACCAGGCGATCAGAATTTATGGAGAAAGCAACGGATTGAGGTTTGTTGCATGTCGACGATCTTTAATCTTAATTTATTTACCATTCTGAAGAGGCCTATCACTGACGTAATAATTTGGTTAGATTTTTAATCAGAATCTAACTGAATAGTTAGTTACTTCAGTGATGAATTTGTTTTTATGCGTTTTGTGCTGTGCAAAAGCTGCGCAAAACGCATATTGTGGCAATTACAAAAACTCAGCTTGACTCGGCTGATGATCTATGGTGCTTTAGCCTTTCAGCACTTTGCTTTATCATTTCTGCCAACACCATTTCGAGGGGCCGCTCGCTGGAACTTTGTCAGACGCGCTTGGTAGCGCTGCCCAGTGTCTGGCGGCTGAATCACGTGGCTAGGGAGGCGGGGGGAGGTGATGGGTGGGAGGACTGAACATGGTTGGGGGGCCCTGCCCACATATAATCCCTCAAATTTAAATTCAGCCTTCCCGCGCGCCCAAGTATTACTGACGGCCCCATGGAAGTTTCGGTGGGAAAATTATTATCTTGGGGACCACGAAAGTTGGGAGTCTGGAATTTTAGGGTTATTTCCACTATTAACACACGATCCCCGGGAATTTGGATTCAGCCTTCACGCACCCC